TTGATGTTCGGCTTTTTAAAATTGATAGAGAAATAAGATACTTACATGGCAAAGAACATTTAAGTAAATTCAAGACCACCAAACCAGCACTTCAGAGCACTCTAAAACATATATTAGAAAAAGAAAATGAAGATCAAAATCAAAAGAACAGCAATAGAAAGAAGCCATCAGGCAATGAAGCAATTAAACAGAGGTTAAAGACAGGGAACCAACAAGAAAACAATATATGAAAGATAGACCAATACATATCTCTTATAACCATCAATGTAAATAGTCTCAATTGACCAATCAAAAGAAACAAACTGGTAGAATCTATCAAGACACAAACTCTAGCAATACGCTATATTCAAGAAACATACTTAACTCAAAAAGAAATTCATAGAATAAAAGTCAAAGGATGGAAAACAATACTTTATGTGATAGGTTCATAGAATAAAGGAGGGATAGCTATTCTGTTTGCAGAAAATGTGAACTTTAAGTCAAGACTGATAAAAAGAGACAAGAAAAACACTACATACTTGCTAAGAAGACTACAAAAAGAAGAGATAACAATCATAAATGTATATGTACCAAATACCAGTGTACCAAACAACATAAAACAAATATTAAGACAGATGAAAAATCAAATAAGCACTAAGACAAATATAATGGCAGACCTTAATACCCCACTCTCACAATTAGATAGATCAATTAGACAAAAAAATCAACAAAGAAATATCAAAATTAAAACCAACCTATGAACAAATGGACTTAGTTGATGTCTACAGTGTTCTACACCACAGCATCAGAACATATGTTTTTCTCAGCTGCATATTGGGAGTTCTCCAAAATGGACAACATATTAGCCCACAGAACATGCTTAAGACATGCAGAGCCACTGAAATTATCCCATACATATTATCTGACCATAGTGAAATGAAATTAAAAGTTAAAGATGCAACCACAAAACCTACATAAGCACATGGAAATTAAACAGCACCCTCCTGAACAACAAATGACGTACAGAGGAAATTACAGAATAAATTAAACAGCATCTACAATTGAATGAAAATGCTGATAAAACATACTGGAATTTATGGGACACAAAAAACCAGCCCTATGAGGAAAATTTATTTTTTTTTTCATTTATTTAGTTCAGGGTCTACAGAGTCTCACTACACAGATCGGACTCATAGTGATACTCCTGTTTTTCAGCCTCCCAAGCACTAGGACTACAGGCGTGTGCCATCAATCCCATTCTCAATCACCACCTCAGCATGCTCGCGGAGTGGGGTTGGCATGGCACACTCGGGATCAAACCCTTGTCCCTGTGTCTGCCTAAGCAGGCACTTTAATCTGCGGAGCTATCTGGTGGGCCCTCTATGAGGAAAATTTATAGCAGTGAATTCTCACATCCCAAAAAAAGGTGCTCTGAAAAGGAACTTAAGGTTGAACTCCAAACTCCTAGAAAGGGAAGAACAAATCAAACCCAAAGATCACATAAGAGGAAATTATAGAAAGCAGAGCTGAAATTAATGCAATTGAGACTAACAAAACAATACAGATAATCAGTGAATCAGAGTTGGTTCTTTGAAAGACTAAATAAAATTAATAAACCCTTATGCAACTTCATCAAAAAGAAGAAAGAAATGACTCAAATTTAAACAATTAGGAATGCAAATGGTAAAATCATAATGACTCCTGTGGAAATCTAGAAAATCATCAATACTTCCTTCAAGAACCTGTATTCTAATTAGGTAGAAAACACAGAAAAAATGGACAGATTCCTAGACACATGTGTATTACCAAAATTGAATCAAGAGGATATAAAAATTCTAAATAATCTAATTTCAGTCAACGAAATTAAAAATATAATTTTAAACTTCTCAACAAAAAAAGAGTACTGGCATTAATGAAGTCACTGTTAAATTTACCCAAAATACATAGAACTAATGCCATTTATACTGAAACTCTTTAATAAAATTGAAATGGAAGCAGTATTTACAAAATCATTCCTGGAAGTATTACTCTGATACCTAAATCAGAGAAGGACCCAATGAAAAAAGGGAGCTATAGGCCAATATTCCTGATAAAAAGAGTTGCAAAAATCCATAATAAGATATTAGCAAAAAGAATGCAGCAAATCATCAAGAAGATTATACACCATGACCAAGTAGGATTCATACCAGGGATGCAGAAATGGTTCAACATACAGAAATCAATAAATGGAAAACACCACATTAACAGAGATAAAGACAAAAATCACATGATCATGACAATAGACTCAAAAATCTTGATAACGTTCAACAATCACTCATGATAAAACATTACAGAAAACTGGAATAGATTATCTTAACCTCAATTTTATAAAAAGCCTACTAATGACAAACCAATATCTAGAACCATAGTGTGTGGTCAACAGATGAAACTTTCACTTTAAAATGAGGAACAAGGCAAGGATATCCACTATTGACACTCTTATTCAATATAATTCCGGAAACATTAGCCAGACTGATTATAAAAGAAAGAAATAGAATTAATAAAGACAAAAAAGGAAGAATTACACTATCATCATTATTTGCAGATGACATGATACTCTATATAGAAGATCTTTAAAATTGTATCAAAAGTCATATAGATTTAATTATCAAATACAGAAGTGTACTTGAATACAAATTTAACACTCCAAAAATCAACAGTATTCATATACACAAACAACAAACTCACTAAGAGAGAAATTACCACATTCTTTGTAATAGTATAAAAATGAAACACTCAGAAAGTAGATGATCCATACATTGAAAAATACAATACCCTGAAAAAGGAAATCAAAGAGGCTATCAGAAAATGGAAAGCTATTCTTTGCTCACAGATGATAACAACTAACATAGTGAAAATGGGCATATTCCCAAAATTGTTGCACAAGTTTAATACAATCCCAATCAAAATACCATTACTATATAAAAAAACCAAAAACTAGATAAAACTTTCCTAAAATTCTTTTGAAATCCAAAAAGAGCTGTAATAGCAAAAACAAGTCTCAGGAACAAAGGCAAGGCATGGGATATTAAACATTTTGACTTGATAAAGGCAAAAAACAAAACTAAACAAAACAAAGCATCAGATCTGACAATCAGTGGAACAGATTAGCAGGTGTAGAAACAATTGCAAATACATTCAGCCACCTCATCTTTGACAAAGGACCTAACATATTCAATGAAAGATAAACTTTTTAATTAATGGTGCTGGAACAATGGGCATTCCACATGCCACAAACTAAAACAAGACCCATGTCTCTCACCATGCACTGAACTAAAATCAAAATGGATCACAGACCCAAATAATAAAGCAAAAATTTTAAATCTGCTGCAAGAGAGAATAGGCAGAACTCTTGAAGACATAGGTGTAGGCAAAGATTTCCTAAACAAAACCTGATTTCTCAGGAAAAAAATACAAAGAATTATTAACTAGGATCTTACCATGTTAAAAAGTTCTCACATAACAAAAGAAGTCCCCAAAAGAATAAAAAGATAAGGCAGAGAGTGGGCAAAAATTTACCCAGTTGTTGTTCAGACAAAGAATTCATATCTAGACCATACAAAGAACTGAAAAAAATCTGATGTCCCAAATTTAGATTAAATAAAAAAATGGGCAACTGGGATTTATAAATACTTTGCAGATGACGAAATACAAATGTCAAATAAATATATGAAATAATGTTCAATATCACTGGCTACTAGAGATTAAAACAAATTAAAACAATTCTGTGATTCCATCTCACTCTAGTAAGAATGGCTATCATGAAGAAGTCAACAAAAGCACTAACAAAGGATCTACAAACTGTGGTATAGGGTTTTATGGTAAATTCTGAGGGGATTTGACTGACCTTGTCAGATACAGAACTTACATTTCTTGTTACACAGGTCTTGCTTTATCTTAGTCTTAACCATCCAGCAGAAAAGTACAAAAACAAAGTATAAAAAGTAAAGCCTTATTAATATGCTCAAGTTAACAACTTCTGACATTGATAGTCCTATGGATAACCCACTACTATTATGGACTACTGGACTATATTGGATTATTTTGCTGAATGCATGCACCTACAGTATTTAAATGGCATTGGAATACCCATCTCTGACAAAACTTAACGAAAAGGGGATATAAATGAAGGATCATTTTGTATCCATATATACAAAATAGGATAGATATACAGCTACTTTCTCTTAATTCAATGAGAAGAAAGTTCTGTACTAATAATGTTTGGACAGGATATCATGTCTGCATCTTGTACTATGAATAACTACCATGAAGACAACAATATGCAATGTGTTAATTATTGTAACTGTCCTACTAACCTGTTTTGAAACTGTCTCATTGCTATTTGTTTCTGAATAAAATTAATTTAAAAAAAGAAGTCAACCAAGTGCTGATGGTATAGACTAAGCGCTTGTTCAGGTCAGCGCAGGGGCCAGGGTTTGATTCCTGGCACCTTATGCCAAACTAGCCCTGCCCCCAGGAGCTCTGAGCTGGCAGTGGAGTCTGGGCATTGTGGTGCATGCCTGTAACCCCAGCATTAGGGAGGCAGAAATCAGGAGAATCACCACGAATTGGAGCTGCATAGTGAGACCCTGCATACACACACACACACACACACACACACACACACACACACACAAATAGAAGTCAACCAATAACAAATGCTGGAGGGTTTAGGGGGGAAAAGGAACACTTCTCTAGTGTTTGAGGGGGTGTAGACTGATGCAACCACTGTGGAAATCAGAGTGGAGATTCCTGAAAAAACTGGCATTAGAGGTCCCAATGAACCTAGCTATCCCCCTCCTGGGTATTTTTCTAGAAGAACTGAAAACATTATACCACAGTGATATATGTGCACCCCTATGTATATCAACACAATTTATCTCTCAGGGTTTTTTTTGTTTGTTTGTTTGTTCCTCCAATATATTTGTCCTTTTTTTCTCCTATAGATGTGTTTAATTTTCAAGTGAATTTTCATTGTTTACCTGGACTTGATCAGGTTGAACAGGCCTCATAGCATCACCAGAAGCACGTGCAGGATTATCCTGAGGTTGATATTCTGATGAAACCCTCTGTTCTCTGCTGTATTATTATTAGAAAAACACAGTGCAGTTAAGACAGAGCATTTGTTTAGTTTTAAATCACTTTTTAATAAGCTTTTTAAATAAAAATGAGTTCTTCCATTTTAAGCTATGCCCAAAAGACAGGAATATTTGCTATCATTTATTGAATGTTTTTCCATTTTAAGGATGTTTTCACATGATCTGATTTACCCAATATTTTTATTGGAAAAAGTTCAAGCAATGTTGAAAGAATTTTGCTGAATATTCATATATTGCTTACAGTGATTCTACCAGTAATATTTTACCATACATATTTTATCATGTATCTGTCCATATATCCATCCCACAAACCATTTTTCCTTATGTTTCATGTAATTGAAAGTAAATTAAATGTATATTGATTTCTAAAAATTACATTATACTATGTAAATAGTTATAAATATCTTTCAAAATAGCTATTCTTAACTGTAATTTGCAGGTGGGAAACCTGAGGCTGAGAAATTTTAAGGAAATTCCTACAATAATATATAGACCAGAGATTTGAGATTTACTGTCTGGGTTTCAAAAGCTTCACTTTATAGCTAGCTGCCTTCACTGCTTTTAGGCTTGTGGTGAAGCAGAAAAATCAGGATGGTTGGGAATGGTGAAAGAAAGCTGCTGATCTCATGGCAGTCAGGAAGGAGAAAGAGGGGTAATCAGGTAGTGAATGAAGAAGGGAGGGAGTGAAGGAGAGAAGGAGGGAAGGAGGGAAGGAAGAGAAGAAGGGAGGAGGGAGGAAGTGGAGAGAGAGAGAGAAAGAGAGAGAGAGAGAGAGAGAGAGAGAGAGAGAGAGAGAGAGAGAGAGAGATTAGCAAGCTTAGGACAAAATATTACTTTTCCAGTTGTGCCTTCAGTGACCTACTTTTGCCAACCATGACCCACTTTTTAAAAATTCATTCCTTCTTCAATGAATTCATTAGTGCAATAACCCACTGACAATGTTATGCCCCCATGATTCAATCACCTTCCAAAGTCCCTACCTCTGAACATGAGTCTTGTGAATACTATTACTCTTTTGATTTGTAATCAAGCTTTTTATTTGTTTTCTTTTGCTTTATTTATTTATTTGTATTTAGGACAGGATGTACATGGTCTCAATGCATAGATCGGACTTGTAGTGATCCTCCTGTTTACAGCCTCTCAAGTGCTGGGATTACAGGCACACTCCACAACACCCAGGCTTATTGTGCCCTCAGTGCACCCCGGGGGTGGGGCCAGCAGGGAAGGCCAGGGGATCGAACCCCTAGGCCCTGCATCTGCCTAAGCAGGCACTCTAATAAGCTGAGCTATTTGGCTGGCCCTTCTTTTGCTTCTTTATGCACAGTGCCTCCATGCTAGTGGACTGCACAGGCAGGACTCCCAAGGTCCTTGTAGCTGCCCAGCATCTGCCTAAGTTCTCAGACAGTGGGACAGGGTGCCAGAAGATCTGCTGCGCCTCCATGCTGGTGGCAGACCACAATTTTCCTTTAATTACTTTGAATATCACAACTGTTAGAAGGTAGACTATGTATTATTCTACTCTCTTTATAGAAGACGAAGAAGAGGCTGAGTAAGTCATTAGAAGATTATAATACAAATCCAGTACTCTATAAAACCTTACAATGGAAAGTTACAAATAATACTTTCAAATGACTTATTTATAAGTATAGTTTCTAATTTTTATGATTGTTTAACATCTTAGTGAGTTTCCAACCTATATCAAGTGCTGAGATTAAACTCTTCATACTACTTTAAATTTGCAAAATTAATATATTGAACATATATATATATATATATATATGTACTACTTTAAAGAATATGGAATAATGATAAAAACAAGATGAAGAGTTTGAAATGACAAAAGGTTGGAGAGCTTATTTCCATTCTCTCAGAGACAATTATATAGTTATTAAAATTTTTGAATTTTTTAAATGTTGCAAGCCTATTTCTAAGGGTGACAGGCTCACAGTATCTACTCTTTCAATTTAAAGTAATATTTCAAACTATTCTCATAATACTTGGAAAGTAACATTATATTTCATTGGGGAATGGTACTTTCAAGTAGATGCTAATTTTCATTAATTGATATAAAACTGAAAATTTTCTGCAATGCTCCTTTATCTCTAACATTCAGAGATAGTAAAATTAAAATGCTATAGTTTGCTTTTAAACAAAGAAATAAAGAGAATGAAACAGACATTATAACATCCAATGCACTGTTTTATCTAATTGTATTCTAGCATAGAATTTAAACCTAATACCAGACTTATCCCTGTAACGTTGACCAAGTTATTTAATCTACTTGTGCCTAAGGAAACTCATTAGTGCTTTATTTTTTGTTTTTTAAAAAGCTTTATTCATAAATAGACAAAATTCATGAATTGTCATATTTCTTTTTAGAGGACACAAGTCTAGAATTATTTTTTGCATAGCTCATTTAGGTTTCATTATTCTTTGCATAGCTCATTTAGGTTTCATTACTGATAATTATATTGTACTACTATCTGCACCATGTACACTTACATTAAAACAGTACTACTTTTATAACTTTAACAATCTAATATTGTCTTCCTTGATTACCCTTTAGTATGATTTTTTATTGAATGCTTAAAATGAGTAACTTTTGTGCTGCTTGATAGAAAAAAAATGTTACCAAGCAAACCTATGATATTTCAAAAAGGTCTTTTAATGAAATTTATAAAGGAATATAATTTAATATCTACCAAAAAATGAATTACTTTTCTTGGTGAGCTAAGTTAAATATCGGCATATGATTGAGGCAAATATTTATAATAGCAAATGAAATATGTAAGCTTCCTTTAGCCATTTTAGACTAAATCTTATTACATTAAGTCCCTGACTTATGAACATCTGAATTGTGAATTTTCACAGGTGAACCAGCCTCCCATTAGAAACATTCCTAGTGTTTAGCTCACATGTCTACCTTACCATTTTAAGGTAACTGTGAAAGTAAAAATATAACATTACTGACAGGGTTAAATGAATTGATTGGTGTGAAACATTAATAATTCTGCTTGACAAACATCATAATCCCTCAATAAATGACTACTGCTCTCATTAGTATTTTCACCATTTCAGTAGGGTGATTGGTATAATTATAAACATATTTCATAGATTAAAAGAAATTAAATCCCAGAGGTGAAGAAACATGTCTAATACAGTCCATTACAGTCAATTCTATTGGGCTCTTCTTTCCATTTCTCTAACATCATTGCTGGGACTCAGGAGTAGGTAGAAGGTACTGATACAGCAGCCTTTCTTCCTCTGTTTTCCATGTTGTTAGTGCAGTATGCTTAGTGCACACAAATACTGCCCTAGTGGAAAGAAAGCACTGAAATAGGACAACCATTTTGGTGAGCATGTGGTTTTTATCTGAGGTAGGGGTTTTCCAGGTTTTGCTCTTTCTGAATCCTGAACAAAATATTCCTGGTTTGGAACTATTATTTTTCCCTTTGTTACAATTTAATTTAAATGTTGATTACTATGAAAAAGAACACACCAGTTGGGTCCATAATAAATACTATTTTTTGATTCATTTGGTGACCTCACAAATTATCCAATAATTTTATTGATATTTAGAAATTTCTTACCGGCTATCATCCATATTCTTCTTTGACTTCCTTTTACAGTAGTGGATAGTCTGGATTGTTATACCAACTATTAAAGCCAGTCCCACTCCAGGCAATGTTGCTACTAAAATCAGGTCCAGAGTATTCCAGAGTTGGTCACATTTGGCCCCCATATACCAGTAGTTTGCCCACTGGCCTCTAAAATATGGACATCTAGAGATAATAGAAAAAGAGTGGTCACAAATTAGAAAAATCCAAATGGTCTTATCTGAGTCAATCAAACATTTCATTGTTATTCAAATATAACGTTTCTGTTTAGGTCCTGAAGAGATTTCTATTATTCTCTTTTCACTTGAGCAAATATTCTCTACCTACAACTTTGAACGTGTTCAATCAGCATGCAGAAAAATAACAGAGTTTTCCAATCATTAGCAAACAAAGATGCACACTTCCTAATAAAAAAAATCTCATCCAAAATTACTGTTTCACGATTATTTTAAAAACTATCCACTTTGGCCATTGCTCATACTTGCATTCATGTTGGCTACTTATGTCAGTGATATGAAAAGCTTTTGAAGGAGATAGGCTACCAGTTTTGTACTTGCTAGCTGTGCATTCTTCCCTCCATCCCCTACAGAAATGGGTATGTTAACAAACTGGCTCTGCTATTATGCAACAAATGCAAGAAACTTAAAGAAACAATAGATTATCTACCAACAAAATATGCCTATTTCCACCTTTCCCACGACTACTGATTTTCCTCATTTTATAAAAATAAGTCACTCATATAAAACCTTCTATTATTTTTATAAAGCTTCGGAACTCTACCAAACTTTGTGAATAAGATTGTGTAGTGTGTTTATGGCCATACCATCCTGGACGTGCTTGATCTCATCTGATTGGGTGTTGCAAAGACTGAAAACTATGGTATACACCTACATAGAAATGTCTATTGATTGGGGGTTAGGAAGAATATGAATTCTCCTCATGTCCCATGGAAGAGACTAGTGGAGAGATTTGTTTTAGAGATTGCTTTATTGTGTTTTGCAGAACTGATATATGATTATCCAATTGAACAGTAAACACCAGAATGTAAGTAAACTATGCGTGGTTTGTGTTGTTGCAATATTTCATTACTACTCTCATGACTGACATTAGAAAACTGGTTAGATGTCTACTATGGACTTTCAGAGACTTGATGGTCTAGGATTCTCTAAGAAAATTCATCTAGAGCTTGTCATAAGTAGTATGGATCCTAATGGATTCCTTCCTGGAAAAAGACTTTGATAATATGTTTGGGACGAGGGAGAAGGCTCAGTGGAATATTTGCTTCTCTGGAAAGCACAAGGGCCTGAGTTCAATCCCCGGTTCTGCCAAAGGAAAAAAAAAATCAGATAACATATTTATCCTTTTCCCTACGGATGAATCAAAAAAGAATCATCTGGAGACCCAGTCCTAGCCCAGGTCCGGTGAGTGTATGGAGAGCATCCTGCTACCCTGCACCGGTGGAACCAGTCCCACCTCAGGCAAAGCATGGGCCAGACCCTCTCCCACCCCCTTGGGCCACCCCCAACCACTCTGCATTACCTCACCCACCCCGCCCACCGAGTAGGAATTTCTGCCGCATTCCAGGAACCCAAAAACCCAGTCCTAGCCCAGGTCCGGTGAGTGTGTGGAGAGCTTCCTGCTACCCTATGCAAGCGGGACCAGTGCCAACCCAGGTGCAGCGTGGGCCAGACCCTCTCCCACCCCCTTAGGCCACCCCCCACCACTCCGAAGCAACTCCCTCACCCCACCCCCCGAGTAGGAATTTCTGCCGCTTTCCGGGAATCCCCAGATACAGTCCTAGCCCAGGTCCGGTGAGTGTATGGGAGAGCTTCCTCTGCCCCTACTTCACCTTGCCCCCTCCAGGCACACCTCAGGCCTGGCATACACGCCTGGGGTTTGACCCTGCAGCTGCAATCACTGCAGAGAATGTAGAGGACAGATCCACCCAGCTAGTCCTGGAGCAGAACATCTTGCCACAGGGGCACAACGGGTTCACCCTCAAGGGCAGCAGCAGGAAGGAGCTGAGCACAGCAGCCAGACCCAAGCCAGAGGCAGCTGGATAAGTCCAAACTTTGTAGAGCTGCACCTGAACTTCAGGACGTTCGAAGGTTATAACTACAGCAAAGATCTACAACAAAGGTGAGAAGACAGTGCTACACAAAATGACAAGAAGGAACAAAATTCAACCTCAGAACCCAAGCCCACCCATAACAAGTGCAGAGGACACTAACACAGAAAAAATTGGAAATCACACAGCT